AACAAAGCTGTGTTCCTTATTTGTCCCAAATGAAGATCTATACAGTGCATAATTTCTTTAAAGTTCCTTTAAGTAGTCTTGTGTTATGAGTACAATTCAAAGTCCATCAACATCCCAAGTACTTGTGCATTATCTACCCTGCTACACTTCCCTAATGCTTCTTATACTTTAGTTTGCTAATACTGTTCAGTGTAAAGACAGTCTTTCTGAGGTAGACTGTTCAAGTTCAAGGACAAGTCTTTTTCTCACAAAATGCATGACATTCAAAAAAAGACAACAAATAAATACTACATGTATAATATGTAGCAATGAGGTAGAAATGGTTATAAAGAATGATGTTTGAATATAGTCAGATGGAAAATAAAAGAAAAACAAAGAAATAACTATTTGCTAGTAAATGTATATAATAATCCTCAAGGGAAACTCATCCATACACAGACCCACACAAGAGAAAAAGAATGGGGGGGAAGAGAGAGAGAGAAAGAGAGAGAGGGAGAGAAGGGAAGAGAAGAGAAGAGAAGAGAAGAGAAGAGAAGAGAAGAGAAGAGAAGAGAAGGGAAGAGAAGAGAAGAGAAGAGAAGAGAAAAGTAAAAGGAGTGAGTTTTAAGTCTGGAAATAAACTTTTACTTTTTTTGTTTGTGTATTAGAAGAAACAAGAGGAATGAATTTGCTCCCAACCTTGGTGTAGTACAGAACTGTTTTTATAAATATTTAACATTCTATAGGACTGATTCATATATTCTCACACAACTCTGTGGCAAGGCTGACCCGCACTGCCGACATTCTACATATCACGGAGACAGGGAGGTGAAATTTTCCTGCTTTCAGTCTAATTGTCTTTGACAATTGCAGGGCCTAGTGCTACACTGCTTGGGTTGTATTTAAAAACAGGGGAAAGAGGAGAGACTTGTTCATTAAAGATGCAGTATCCCTGGTCCACACAAATGCATCTGGCAGGTTCAAAATCGAATGTCAACCAAAGGTCTTAGCAGAGTGTGAGCTCAGTTCATGTGTTGGTTAGTCACAAGTACAGCTGCTAGTGAATTCTGAAATACTAATAGCTCTGTGTGTGCTAATGTGATTCATACAACATTGCCAGATAATTCGACAACTGAAGGCTTTATTTTTCTTAAGGAAAAAAATAATGTGTTAAAACTGAATTGTAAAATACTCGTGTATACCTCTGCACATATAAAGAAAGGAATGAACCACTTGCTTCTTAGTAATAAATGCGTGCTTTAAAGTTCAAGTAGGTGGTGGTGAAAACAGCACACACACATACACACACAAACACACATTATATTTATATTTATATATATGTATATGTGTATATATATATATATATATATATATATTAGAAATTAGAACTTTACTCTAGTGGCCTCAATAGTTCAACAAACTGTGTCCCTTTCACTTTGCAAAATGCATTCCCAAGGATCATGATACCAATTCTTGCTAAGAAACAGAGCTGTATTACACAAGTATCTTTCTGATTGGAGTTGGATACATTTCCAGAGAGATTTTAAATGCCTCTAAAACATACTTTCTAATCCACAAATATATTTAAATTTACAATGACCTATTGTAGGAATTAATTTGGATTATTTTGGATGTATTCTCTTCAAAACTGCATAGCCAAGTACTATGCAACCCATATAAATTGACCTTGTTATTTTACATAGTATAGCCTCTGGATAGCTTTTATCACTTGCCCAGATGGTGTTTGGCCTATGTGTTTTAGTGGAATGGTTTATTTTCTCCTTGATAGGTTTCAAATGCACAAGAAAACATTTTACCCGTCTATCTGCATTTGAGTAGAATACAAACTGACTAATAGATAAACATTCTGTGCAAAAGTAAATAGCCTTAAAGTATACTGCCTTCACATTCCATTGATCAGCTCAAGTCAGCAAAGTTTTCTATATTGTCACTAATGTTCTAAATATTTTGGAGAGCATGCTAGAAATGTAAAGTTTTTTTTCTTTTCATAATTTGTGTCACATATCAGGTCATTACGAACTACCTCTTGAATTTCTATTGAGCCTTCCACTGAATTCGTTCCTCTCACTTCCTTTTTGTCCCTCTTGGAAATGTTATTATAGTTATGAAGGAAAGAATTAGGTCTGTTAACTCGACTGCTTGAATCCTCTGGTCAGACAGGTAGGAATTTGGGCTGTCTCATTGTCTTACCTTCATTAGGAGTCTCCTCTAAATTCTTTGTAGTCAAGAAGAGGCTGAAAATTTGGGACCTATGTCCATCTCAAAGTGGAGCTTAGATTCAGAAAAGCGCTTATAATAAGGCTAATCTTAGTAGCGTTCATAATGTTGCTCTGTAGAATTAGAGAACCACAGGAGAGCACTATCTACTCAGAGGTCAGCCTTAGCAACTCCAATAGATCTTTGTTTCTTCCAATTGCCCAGTTACTTAACAGATCAGTTCTTAGAACTGGAGAGGCAAACTGAAACTCACACACACCTTCCGCTTCTGCGGAAGGATTGTGAACACTCATATCTTATACGAATCATTAATTCATTTAAAGCTAAAAGCCAATATAGATGACTTCACTTTATTTTCCAGGTGTATGAGTATGAATTACAATAGTGCAGCCATGTTTTCTTTTTTCTTTTCTTTCCTTTTTTTTTTTTTTGGCATTTAAGTCTCGCTAGCCACATACACACAAAAAATGTGGGTCAACATTGGATTTTCCAAAGTCGTCTAAATAAGAATGGGTTTGTCATAACTTGCCAGATGCTTTCAAGTGAACACAGCATGTTGGTGGAAATGAGATGTAATGTCTAAAAGATAGAAAATAGGTCAGCACTGTGCAAAAGTAAACTTGTCAGTGAGATCAATATGAACCAAGAGTTAATGTGAATGCTCGAATTTCTTTACCTCAAGGGATATACATGGTAGACCCAGAACATGATTGGAGAGTTTATTCACTTGCGAAAAGCAGAGGACATATTTAAGTATTATTTTTTGTATCCTTAATGAAAGGCACTGATTTTTAATATGGAATATTTATATATAAGCACAGTTTTAGTTTGATAGGCTATTACAGCAAATTAAATTCTGGTTCATTTGCTGAGTTTTTGACAACATAAAAAATTTTCAAAAGAGGGGGCAGGATTTATAGTTAAGCATCATAAAATTTCAGAGCTATCATCGTCCCTCATTAGTTTTCTCTATGTTAAATATTTCAGATAATTTGACAGTGTGGAGAAGCTCAATAAAATTTTTTGAAGGAAAGACAAATAACAGGAAGACCTTTCTTGGGGCTTCTCATTGCATTTATTTAATTTTTAAAATATACATCACTTATTGAATACATAAAATGCCAGTGCTTTGCAATAGTTTTGTTACTGCATCTCTAAACTAAACTAAAATAAAATAAAGAAAGAACAAGAAAAATACATTCAAAATGCTAGGCTGTTCTGCTTATGCATGGGGCAGTGGCTTTGGAAAGCAACTACCTGCACTGTGACTGTCCAGAGACATTGGAGATCATCAGCCAGCTTTCAATGAAAAGTTGCACATAAAGCATTCAAGGATACAAAGAACAACTTGGTAGGAAGCAGGAGAGGAATGGAAAAGTCAGAAAAATACCACATACACTGTGGAAGGGAGACGGTGGATGTACACATACTGATATTTTGGGAAATAGAAAGTAACGTATTTGGCAAGCTATACTGTGTGTGTGTGTGTGTGTGTGTGTGTGTGTGTGTGTGTGTGCGTGCGTGCGCGTCCACTTCCAATTTTTCACTTTACTTTCCAAGAGAAATATAACAAAACTGAGGTAGAAATGAACGCAGCAGCACTACACCCAGATATCAAAATGAGAAGGAAAAATTGCACGAACAAGAGTAAGTAAAAAAGCAGATGGGATGTAGAGGTCCCTCATAGATCCATATCAGTTGGTTGGTTGCCTTTTGTTTTGCTTTTTTTTTTAAAAAAAACAACTTATTTGTGTGTTTGTTTGGGTTGCTATCCTGTGCGCTTTTTTTTCCCCCCAAAAGCACAGTAAGCCTATAACTAGATCAGTGAATAGAATGACACCATTCCCAGCAGATCAGAGATAACTTGAAAACTACCACCACCACTACCACCACCACCATCACTACCACCACCACCACCACCCCACCACCATACCACTTAAGCAGTAAAAGGCAGTTATAGTTTTTGGGTAATGTGACTTTCAGGGCCCTAAACAGGTCTGCAGCTGACTTTTCTAGATACTAACACAAACTGAATGAGTAGTTTTCATTAACCAGTGTACCTTTTAAGAACATTTTCACTTAATTATCAAGGAGCCATGTACTAAGAACTCTTGCAGTTATTGACATAAAGAATTACCTGCTCTGATTAATTTCCCATACTTAGTAAAGAACTTAAAAAAATCCTTCCATTTCTATTTTAAGTTGTAAATATTCAGTTGTATCACACTCAGTATTTTTTTTTTCTGGATACATTCAAAGTAATTTCCTTGCTATTTTCCAATTGTTGAGGTAAACATACATCTTAATATAAAGTAACATTGAAGCCTATCCTATTACTCTCAGCAGTACATAGTGCTTTCAACACATTCCTTTGAGGTACTGTACAAATCACAATCACTTTCCTGAGTTTTTGCAGACAAGAACATTAAAAGAAATGAACTGCAGAAATTAAGGTCCAGATTACCGTTTACCCTGTTTTACCTGTTCTTAGCTTAATACTGCAGAACAGACAGGATTGAGGAATACTGTTGCTCTTAAAATGGCAAAAATCTGGTTTTCTGTCATAACACAACCGTTCATCTCTTTAGTCCAATAATGTTTGAAGTTAAAGCTCTTTATATTAGCACATGCCACCAATGTAATTGTGAGGCAAACAAAAAATAAAGCACCACTCCAGGCACTTGACAGCAACTAAATCTCGAGAACAGCAGAATGGAATCAACACACGAGGTTCATGTCCTTCTGAAATCAACACACTTGCACCTTGCTCCTTGCTCCTTGGTGAGTGTTGTCTAGTTTGAACGGAACTGAGCATCCACATATGCTTTCTGTCATCTGGGGCTTTCAAATCGGAAGCTCTCATTTGATGTACTTTTCCTCCAAATCTACCCTGACTCTAAAGATGCCACTTAATTGTTGTCTTCCCCAGTGCCCTTTGCAATTTAAACACTACTGGGAAGGGGCTCTATTCCCTACGTAGCAGGTTTTATGTGTGTGTGCCAACATTCATTACATTTTTTTTAAAGACGTTATCACTGACTGCAACCAAACATTTTATTCCATTCAACATACATATCAAGCTCTTTTTGAGATATGCTAGGCTGAATCTTGCAGAAAGCATTTTCAAAGTCTTGATATGTAACGGGCCTCAACTGGCTGGGCATAATGGCTGAAAGGTCTGTGGCTGGCATAGCATGGAGGGGGCCCACTGCTGCTTCCTGACACAAATGAGCCACGTCTAGTCCAGAAAAGCCTTCTGTGCGCTGGACGAGCAGTGCAAACTCCTTGTCATTGAGACAGTAATTGTGCTGTGAGAGCAGTTGTACTATTATCTGGTGCCTCGCTGTGCTGTCAGGAAGTGGGATTAAAAGTCGTTTCATGAAGTACCTCCGAAGAGATTCATCTATTTCTTCTGGTTTACTGGTGGCACAAATTACTACGATTTGGTCCTCAGCTGAAGTTAGTACAGTGTCCAGCTGCATCAGAAATTCGGTTCTCATCCGATTGACTGGACTGTGCTCCTCACCCACTTGGGAAGAGAGAAGCATATCAATGTCACTAACAAAAATCACTGAGGGCTGGCGACACCTGGCCACAAGAAAGGAGGCGTGGATGATTTTTTCGGCTTCTCCTAACCACTTGGCGATCAGTCCTGAGCCGGCAATTTTAAAAAAGGTGGCCCCCAGCTGACTTGCTATGCATCTGCCCAATAAGGTTTTGCCTGTTCCCCGAGGCCCAAACAAAAGGATGCTTCGAGGTAAGGCCGTGAGCCCACTGAATGCATCCGACCTCAGCACTGGCCATAACACCTCCTCTTTCACGACAGCCTTCACCAGGTCGAGACCAGCAATGTCATTCCAGTCCACTGGAGGTCCTTGGGTGATAATCTCATTGGTTACCAAGTCAATGAGGTGCGTGTCAGTATTCTTCAGCTGCTCCTCCACAGAGTGGTTGGATGAGGTAGCTGCCCGGAGTCCAGGGCCTTGCATTGGGTGAGAGAGGAGCTGCCGATGCTCATCCCCATGCTCACCCATTACTGGCGACGTGTATTTCCCAAAGGACTCACTGGATCTGGAGCCCAAGGAATTTTTAGCAGTACTGTAGGAAGGAGGGGTCAGAGCCCTACTGGACTGGCTGCTGAATTTCCTTTGCTGTTCAGAGGACATTAGCTGCTTCGTTGGCTTAAATGCTAAGGATGATGTTTCAGCACTTCTGTCAAAGCCATTCCCCCGGTTGGTGTTTGAAATGCTGTTGTCGGGCATTCTGTACATAGGACTCTGTGTAGATCTCTGTTGGCCATAGCTGTAATTTCCATAACTGGAGTCCATATCTCCTTGCCCTGCCATGTAGAAAGCTTTCCTTTTGAGAGAACTGGCCGAGGGTGCAATAGGTGTCAAACCATGACCCTGGTAGGTGTAGCCAGGAACCGTGGTGGGAGGCAGGGGGGTGGGAGCAGGAATTCCTGAAGGCAGGTATGCTGAAGGAGGGGGCGCTCCCCCAGGGCTGTACCCAGACCCCACAGCAGTCTGAGGAGGATAGGTAGCCGAGGGATAGCTGTAACTGGAGAGGTTAGAAGTCCCATTGTAGCCTGGGACCAGGGCTGGCGGAGGAGGAGGCGGTGGTGGCGGTTGCAGGAGCCCGGAGCTATGCAAAGGAGATGGATGAGGGGAAGGAAGTGCAGGTGCCGGCTGGCTGCTGTATGTAGAATGTAAATATGATCCATTGTATCCGGGAGCGTATTCCTGAGATGAAAGCCCTGCATGAAGACTAGGTACAGTGTGGCTTCCACAGGTGCTGCTGGAGTAACTAGGTTCGGTCAGGTTGCTGGCCACCCCGGGAGAGCTCCCTATACTTGCAGAGTCCGCTGGAGGGAGGGCTGAACTGACTCCAGCTTTGCTGGCCGTGATGACGTCCGGAACACAGTTCATGGGGTAGACCGCTTCTGAATTCAAGGAAGGCTGCCAAGGTTCGCTGTCATTTTTCCGACCATTCACTAGTCCTGATGGTGCATCTGAATAGTTGCTGAGTACCGGGCGGTCCACGGGACCCTCTAAAATGCCAGAATATTTCTCTGCGTACTTTTTTAGTAGGTTAGATGCCGTCAGAGCTGATATGTCATCGTTTGCCCAGGCGTACTGGTAGGTGCGCTGCAAATGACCTCTGTAGGCTTCAACTTTGTGGGCTGGAGACCGAGTGGTTGAGGTGATGTCAAAGTGCTGTTCTGGCCACTGGGCATGCTCCGGCGTCCACTGCATCTTCAAGCCTGTGGACCATGGGGGGAGGTGGGAGAGGGAGAAGGAAAGAGTTAGGTTACTTAAACATTCATCGGAACTGCTCAAAGCTTTCCCCTGACTTCTTTTGTGACTTATTATCTTTCATTCCTGATATCGACATTGTCAAGGGTCTCTGCAATTTGTAGAGCCCATTCAGATGTCCATCAAATGAACTCTGGAAAGTGGACTAAATTTCAACCCCGTATAAAAAGAAGTAAATTGAATGAAAGAGAAAAATCTCAGAAAAGCCACATTTCTTTCAAGTTAAATCATAAACACATAGAATTCTATCAAGCCCATCAAGTTATTTACTATATGTACACACAGACACACACATATAATGTACACACACACTCCTGTGAAATTAGAATTCAATCACAGTTTTTTACAATAAAACAGGCACACATTTTAGGTATCTGGAATGGAATACCATTAACATGTACACTCTCTAGCTATTCTGTCTCTTCACATCACAGTTTCTGTTTTATATTTTAACAATATAAAAATGAGACACAGCTGACAGATCACATCTAGGATACCTCTCTTATTTGGTACTGAACACCTAGTTAGCACAGTATAATGCTCTCTGGGCAGAACAATATGACACAGACATCGCAGGTCATTCCATAATCCAACTCTCATCTAAAGTGGTCCACGACAGTTTCAAATCTGCTTCGTGGAGTGCAGCAAAGCAATCTCCCAGGCAGCGCTCCATCGCTTTCATTGCACAAAGCCCACAACTCGGTATGAATTACAACTGGCTCCTTTCTGCCTTTCAGTTCTGTTGCTGTGACTCTGGAAAACACACTCACACCATGTACACACACACATCACACACACACACATTCACACCACACATTCACACTCACAGTTACCACAGAAGCATCACTAGTTTGTCCGTCTTCTAGTTTTCTCTCTCCTCTTATAATCCCCCACTTCTGGTAGCCTCCAAGGTACTAAGAGGGAGGGGGGAATATACAAGATAGGCAGAAAGCAAGCAAGCAAGAAGGAGAGATTGAGAGAGGGAGAGAGAGGTAGAGGGAGAGGGAGGGGCAGGGAGGGAGGCAGAGAGAGAGACACTAAGGTAGAACAGAGAATAGAAAGTAAGAATGTGGATTCTAACTCCACATTTGATAGGAATTGTGCCTGGCAAAAATTGTAAGAATACAAAGATAATGAGATCATATGGGTAATTTTGTCATTTGCTAGATGACTAATTGGAGTAAAATGACTGACTAGTCAGCAAACTATAAAATAATTTTTCACAGGAAAGAAAACACTAAGTGATTCCAATCAGAGTTGCCGGAGTCTAAAATTTTAAAGTGATAAAGAGACCTTAGAAATTACCTTATTTCACAGATTACAAAAGCAGAGCCTAAAGATAGGTATTTATAATGTAGCCTCAAGAGCTAGCATATAGTTAGTTACCAAAGAGCACTGAAACTCTGTTCTATTTCCCAAGGCTGGATCATCCCATTCTAATCTTCACTTGGTTCCAACACTTGCTATTCTGGAACAGCTATATTAAGCAGGCCAACTTAATCTCTTTCATATTATCCAAAGTGAATTTTGCAAACTGTCTTATGCCCTCTGGCAGAGATTTCTTGATAAGAAGGAGGCCTAGTCTAAACGAAGCATCTGTGGCCTCAGCCCCCTTCTGAATTACTGCCATCTATCCTGACAGCTCCTACCCCTTGCTCTTCTCCTCCCCCAACTCCTTTAGCTCTGCACCGCCTGACTCTGGCTTCCAACATGGCCAGCTTTGACTCACTCAGCTCATGTGAACGTGGCACACAGTTTGGTAACAGAATGGCATGTTGATTCCCTTCTGACTCCCTCTTTCTTGTTTGCAAAACCACTGCACCAGACACTGGAAGTTAATTAGCAGGATGATGCTGTGCTAATTGTGTTAATTTACAAGGTTTTAGTCAAAGAGAATCATGCCAGGGCTGGCACTGCTGTCATGCTTCCGACTTAATGATTAAGAAATACTGAAAACAAGGTGGGAAGGATTGCAGTAATTACACAATAAATGAATAAAGCAACAGGATTCATTTGCAAATATATTTTTTCTGCAGTTGTACTCATTTGCATTTGGATTTTTAAAAAGGATCCATGTAGATATTCATTTGCAAATCACCAACTCAGCTAAATTAAATCTGAATGCTGCACAGTGTAACTTAATCAACCTTCACATATGTCAGTATATTTAGCAAAAATATTAAAGACCTCACTTCTCTCATATAGGCAAAAAGATCTTTTGCTCTGAGCTTCTCTCAGCTCTCCCAAATCTCTATAGATTTATGCTTTAAAACTTTATTTCTTTTTAAGTAATCTCCCTAAATTGGAAAACAATATTCCTGATGAAGTGTACTTTACACTAGTTCACTTAGAGAAACTCAGGGTGAGCTAGCTCTTGGAAGAACCATAGTGATATTCTTAATTGTTTCTGCTTCTCAATCATTACTTTCTAAGGAGAGAAAAATGCACCGCAAAATGGGTGAAATGACCAAAACCACACTTAAAGGGGAAAAGATGCAATTTTAATGAAGCAGCATTTCAGGAATCATACTTTCATTAAATTCAACTGGAAATTATTAAGAGCAAATCACCAGGAACCAATCGCAAGTAATCAGTATCTAAATTCTTCTAGTATCATGGGATTTACTTCAAGCCTTATAAAAAGGAAGGAATATTAATGTGACTGTAATGTAGAACTGCCTAAAAGACTTACAAATTCATTAAATTCCTACAAGTCATTTTTAAGGAATTTCTATTAGGTTTTTTTTTTTTCAAAAAAAAAATCAAACTGCTGAGTAGGGGAAAAAAAAGAATGTGCATAAACTACAATTTTGTTACATAAAATGTTTTGAAGGGTTCAGAAAATAATTTAGAAGTTCCGGGCAACGAAATTTACTACATTTACTGCCACACATACACACACACACACACACACACACGGGGGGGGGGCAGTGTTGGTGAGAGAAAAAATAGGGGGGAAGAGGGAGGAAGAGAGGGTAAGAGAGAGAACAAGAGGGAAGGGGAGAGGGAGAGACATACACACAGTTAAAGGACATGTTTGTTTAATTAATAAAGAAACCTATTAGAAAAAAATAACCTTTAATGAGAGTAAAACTGCTTTTGGTTCAGAATTTTTAGAAAAGTTGGGTGCCATTTACCTTTGTTGGCTTAAAAAACATTTACTTTGTATGTGAATTATTTTGACAAGTTGGTATTACTCTTCCAGGACTATGCAGTTTAAGAAAAAACAGTGTCCACTTTCACTGGGTATTTCTGCATAGTTTAGCAAAGCTAATTAAGTTTCATAAGATTTCTATTCTATCTGAAATTAAGCAAAGATCTTATCCATCAGGATTATTTCTTTGGAACAATTACTGGGCACACCATTGCCTTCTGAATCTCATGCTATTTTTGGATGTGCTTACAACGATAATTGAAAGTTTATTTATTGATGCATACTAAATAACAGTAACCTTCACAGGGCTGCAAACAGCAAGCTTGAGTTTTGATTAATCTTAAGGGAACATTCCCGCAAACATGAGAATTTAGATAGTGCTTTGAAATAATTAATGTTATTTGAAAGCACAAGGTAATAGTTCACCAAACAATAATTCTTAATATTAGAAAGATTTGAAGAAATCTGTGTTCAGAGATTGACCTGGTTTAAAGAGGCTTTTCAACATTACTTGAATTTTAACACTAACTGGATGTAATAACAAACCTGTTTCTGTTGTTGTTATTGTTTTTCTGCTTAGTGGTGGTGATGTTTTTTATGTGAATGGAAGAAAAATGCAGAGCCAAATGTTCTTTGACCAAAAACATCACACCCTGTTTGACCATATTGGTATTAACTGAGAGAATGAACCTAACTCCTGTCACCTAACTTGGCATCCAAATAATGAGACAGGGTTTAAACAGGGCTTTGATATGATTTCTTTTCAGAACATGGAGACAAAGATCTCATAAACAACACTATTTTAAGATTATTAGTAATTTAATTCCAGGAAAATAATATTGAATGTTGTTTGAAAATAGTTAGACAGGTGTAGTGAAAATGCAGAAAACAATCAGACATCATAGAACATTACTGTCTGTAATCCCCGCCCTCCAGAGCTGGCAACAGGAAGATTGCAAGGTTGAGGCCAGCCTGGACTGCATAGACAGATGCTGCCACCTACACAAAATAAAACAAAACAAAACAACTGCAATCAAAAGTCCAATTCAGACAATGGGGAAACTAAGAAAAAAGAGTTCTTAAAGATAAGTGAAGAAACAGTCCAATTTTTATTTTTGAAAGGATAAGAAAATTCTCAATACTTTTGGTAAATTTCACGATGCAATGTGTTTTCTTTTAAATACGTAATAGAAAATGGATTGTAAGACAATGCATCATGCTTCCAGAAATGGCAGATAATGGAATGAAACATCTGGGTATTTTATTCTGATTTTATTTTCACAGCATAAAATTGCATACACATAAATAAACAAGTCTGTATGCCTTGTATAATGGGGTAGTTTGGATAGCATTTAGATTTATGTCATTACTGATCCTTTTAGACTAAATTTAAAAACAGGGGCTGGAAAAGTGGCTCAGTGGTACAGTGCTTGCCTTGCATTCATGACGCCTTGGATTTAATTCCTCAGCACCACATAATCAAAAAAAGCTAGAAGTAGTGCTGTGGCTCAAGTGGTAGAGTGCTAGCCTTGAGCTAAAGAGCTGAGGGACATTGTCCAGGCCCTGAGTTCAGGCCCCAGGATTGACAAAACAAAACAAAACAAAACAACAACAACAACAAAAAACCCAAACCCAAAACTAAATAGCTACTTTCTTGTTGGTTTACTTCTTTCATTTTGCTCTTTGCTTAGGGTGTGTGTGTGTGTGTGTGTGTGTGTGTGTGTGTGTTTATTTCATGTTTTAAATAGCTTCTATTATAAAATAATGTTTTGATTATTTTATTTCA